AGCCGAAGATATGCCTATAGTTTCTGATTACAATTATGGTTACGATTCAAGTAAAGTTGGCGTTCAATCTTCACCGTTCAGGACGTTGGGAGCATGTTAAATATATCAATTATTTAATATTATATAGTATAATTATGGTTGTTACCTATTATAGTTAGAGTTATTATTATATAATATTACCTTATATAATTAGCCATTAATGTGGAGGATTCTAGAATATATTCCTCCACCTATAAATACATATTTTGTATTCCTCTTCTATTATTCAATCAATAAAGCATTCTTTATTATTTTACATGGTATCGGAGCCACCGTTCTTGGTGATCTAAATTTCTCCGCTTTCGCTTCCGGCGGGCGGCACCGCCATTAACCGCCGCCCGCCGGATCACTGTTTTCCTCTGACCCAAACTCTTCCATTATACAAAAAGAAAAGATCTTTGTTATAGTCACCGGCGTCTCTAATGTTCTGACCGGCGACCCCTACTCCACCAAACTACCGGCCTCTCTTGGCGCCAAGATCGCACCTGTTCACTCGAGAGTAACATGAGGCACAGGTTCACTTTGCCTTTGAAAGGGGTGTCCTTGGTGTCATCGGTGTTCTAGGGACTATCAAGATGCCTTATCCCTCTAGAGCCTCTGATTTGGCTCATTGATCAGAAATCCTTCTCCTCCAATCACCTTTCAATCCCTATTTTTTTCGATCTCTCACAACTCATATCATCACCCCAACCTCCTTCGTGGGTAGATCTTCGGTCAACATGCATCTCCAGCAGTACCTCATTCCTTGTGTTTCTTCTCTAACACAGTCGCGCACGACTCCAGCGCGCGTCAACTTTCTCCCTTTTTCGACATCAGCGGCATGAGTCTGTTCGCAGCGGCTTTTCTCCCCTCCTCATCAGCGCCTTCACATCTCTTTCATGGCAATCTTTCTTCTTCTCTTCTAGGCCGGATGCATTCAGTCTACTCTAGCCGAAGATATGCCTCTAGCTTCTGATTACAATTCTGGTCACGATTCAAGTAAAGTTGGCGTTCAATCTTCACCGTTCAGGACGTTGGGAGCATGTTAAATATATTAATTATTTAATATATTTAATATTTAATATTATAATTATGGTTGTTACCTTTTGATGGTGTAAATTACTTGACCGGTCAAACTATACTAGACCGGGTCTAGAATAGTTTGCTTGATTTGGCAAAGTAAGAAAGGTAAAAACACGCGGATTGACCGGTAGGACTTTAGGTGGAACACCTGTAGCCCAATTTATATTATAACGGAGAACGCACGGGTGCTTTTACAAGGGAGTTTAGAGAGAATGAATTCGGATCCTTCTTTCTGAGGTTTACATGAGTATTTATACTAGGCTAAGGGGACAGGACCACGTGCGCCCACGTGGGGGCATGCTGCTGATGTGGTGCGAGGTGACTGGTTTCGTCCTCGAGCTGCCTTGTCGCCTTGTGAGGGGGATCATTCCCTTTGTCGAGTAGCGCCTTGGATGGATTCTTCAGCATCTCCAGTCGTCCTCTACTGACACTGGTCGCTACACGCCAAGACTTCAGCATCTCCAGTTGTCCTCTACTGACACGGGATCATTCCCTTTGTCGAGTAGCCTCCTCAAGCTGCCTTGTCGCCTTGTGAGGGGGATCATTCCCTTTATCCTCTATTGACCGGCTTCCTCCCCAGACTTGGAAGCGAATCTTGAGGTCCTCATGCGTGGGGATCCTTTCACCGGGAGGACTTTCCATTATGGCAGCTGGGTTTGGAGGGTCGAATCGGGTGGCGAGGGTACCTCCCCGGCCCATGACGCAGCGGGGCGCGGGGTACCCTCCCCGGGCAACACTGCGGAGGCTGAGGGCAACTCCCACCCAGGTACTTTTCATTTTTTTCGTGATTCGTAGTTGACCGGTCAAACTACTTGTATTTAATGGTTTTAGTTTGTTTTGCAGATATGGAGTTTGAAGAGTTCGCCATCCCCGACGACCAACCGGCGAGGGAGACCGGGGGCTCCCAAGCCAACCCCGGCAGAACCTTCCCGGTCCACCAAGAGACCGTGGAGATTCTGGATGAGGACGAGCCCCAAGACAACCAGTCTAAGGGGAAGGAAAAGGAAAAGCCCGGTCGTCGGGTGAAGAAGGTGGCCACCACGCACCCTTTTTACGCCAAGAAGAGGGCAAGGTCGGATCCTGAGCCGGCCGGCCAGTCCATTGAAGAGGCCTTCATTAATCTGGGGCTGAAGCTAAAGGAGGTAAGTCCTGCTGCTTCCCCGGTTTTGACCTTCTTACTCCCTCGACGGGAATCTTACCGGTCTACTTTTCCTTTTGCGCAGGCGGGGGAGATCGGGCACCTCTCAGCTGACCGGCTTGGTTCGGGCTCTTCTTCGGAGTTTGCCCGGCTGAAGAAGGAGAAGGAGGAGATGGCTCTCATCCTCAAGAGCCAAGCTGATGAGCTGACCACGCTATCCGGGCTGACTGGGTCAATGAGGGCGGAGATTTCTCACCTCAAGGAAGAGAATGGCCGGCTGATGGACGAGGTGTTTGAAGCCAAGAGGGAGATGGCGGAGAAGGAAGAAAACTTCCCCGGGCGTGCCGCTGCCTGGGTTGAAGAAAACAAATCTGAAGTCGCCCGGGTGCTCACGGCGACACCGGAGGCAACCATGGAATCCTTCAGGTATCTCTACCGGGAGCCTGAAGGAAGAAAGATGATCACCGCCGTTGGGTCCTTCGGATTCAAGAGCGGTCAAAAGAAGGACCGGATCGCCTCTCACCGGGCACTACTTAAAAGAGACCCGGACTTCAGTGCTGCATCCTACGGCTTGGCCCCCATTCCTGAGGAAGAGCCCACTCCCCCTTTCCCTCTTGAGTAAAACTCCCCGGCTACGCCCGGTTGTTCTTTGTAAAACTTCAAACTCATTTCCCCGGGAATGCCCGGTGTAGCTGTAAAACATTTAACATTCTTATTTCGTTTGAATGCCATGTTTTCTTTTCGTACTGGTTAATCTTCCACGTCTGCTTGCTTCATGATTGTTACTTTTGTCGCTTCATAGATATTCTGACCGGTAGATATATCAGGCCACTTCTCAACTGTTTTCGACCGGTAGAACTTCCAAGTTCTTGATCACTTTATTTTACAGTTCAGCTCCGGTGACTTTGACCGGTTGAACTCCAACTTGATGGTCAATTTTGAAAAATGTTTGACCGGCTGGACTTCATTTTGGTTTTTGAACTTCTTCGTTCTTGTTTTGAAAGTGAAGCACAGTTTGACCGGCAGGTTTCTTCTTCTCGGTCTGACCGGTGAAGTGCTTCACCTTGTAGAACTTTCGAAGTTTTCGCCGTAGTAATACCCAACCGGGGTATTTCTTTTTTTTTTTTGACCGGTAGGTTGTAGATGGAACACCTGTAACCTAGTAAATTCTTGAAGTATTCTTAACCGGTAAGGATACTGGAGATTTAACCATGTCGAATGGTTTCGAACCCTCTCCAAGGTTCAAATGCACCCTTCTTCCAGGGCCCCCTCTTACGGGTGATTAAGTCTTTTGATGGCCCTTTGATTTCTACCATCCCGGGAAGGCCTTAGCT